GGGACGGCTTTTTTATTGCTTTTTAAAACAGAGTTTTAGTACAAAAATAAAAAATTTTGTACTTTAGAAAGCAGTAAAAAAGCCGTCCCAAACGAAGTTTTAGGCTTTGTTTGGGATGGCTTTCTTACTGCTGCTTAAAACAACTTTTTAATAATTTTTGTAATAAAAAGTTGTTTTAAGAAGCTGTAAGAAAGTTATCCCAAACGGAATCTTAGGTTTCATTTGGGAAGATTTTTTTATTGCTTCTTAAAGCAGCTTTTTAGTATAAAATTTTTTATTTTTGTATTAAAAAGCTGTTTTAAGAAACAGTAAGAAAGCCAACCCAAACTAAGCCTTAGACTGACCATGAAAAGTCATCAATGCTTTAGACGCTCTCAGAGCAAAATTTCGAAACAGGATATTCACATAGAAAAAATAAAGATATCAAGCAAAATGTAATGTGGTATAGAGAGCAAAGCAGAGCAAGATCCATAAAAATAGTGCAGAAACTGTCAGCACTGTGATTTCTGATATTTAATCTCCTTAAATCTCTTCCACGTAGAGATTTTGTAGAGATGCCATTGATGAATTCCTCAAACCTTCTGCAATTTCTTTCTCTCCAAAAGCTGTAGATCTCTATGACATATCAGATATGAGTGAATATATGCAGCAAGTTAGACCAGTAAAAATTCTGACAAAGATCATGAATTTTTAAAAAAATTTAATTAATTTTGAAGAAAACATAATATATAATTAAGCAATAAATAAATTTGAGATCTTCTTTCTCATGGCCGGCAGGAACAGTCTTTCTTCTATTTACTCCATTGTTTTTCCTCCCAACAATGCTGTCACAGTTGAAATAAAAATAAGCAAGAAAGATCTCAATGAGCACATATATAAAGCCATTAAAGCTTGATCCATAAACACAAAGAAAGATCCTAAGCTTTGATTCATTTTCCTCAGATCTCCATTGCCAGAGAACCAATGCAGCTTCTTCTTCTTCTTCTTCGGCCAAAGCTGTTCTTTGTTTCAGTTGCGTTCTTCTTCCTTCTTCTTGGAAGCAGTAGCTGCCATGCTCGTCAATGGCCAATGCTGAAGACAATCAATCAAGCAGAATTTTTTCCTCATCTTTGTAGCAGTAGAGTTTTAGTAGAAGAGAATTCTACTGGGAAGTTGGTCCCTCCTTCTGCACCAGGTGGTGGAGGCAATATATGAGAAGCTTGGAATTTTCTTTCTGGAATGAGATAGCCTAACTTTTCTCTATAGAAATAGCATTGTTTGGTGACTTGAATAGTTTTAATATATATCTATATATTGTCAGGTTGTGGAGCTTCATTTTTGTTCTATATAGGTGAAAAATGTGCTATGTAGTTTCAATCGCCGGCGAACTTTCTTGTATGTTTGGAAGAGGCAAAAGAACTTAGTTATCAACTGAATGAGCATTAATAAAATTCTTGTTTGTTTTTATGCGTTGATCTTCTTTCTTTGAATGTTAAGATTAATGGCTAACAAATTCAAGACTAATTATATTTAATTTTTATGGTAGATGATTTATACTTAGATTTTTGAAGAAGAAGAAGATTGCCTAGTTGAAGCTCTATTCACGCTTAATCTTTAATGCCTACCATCTTGTAATGTAACTATAAAGGGGAACAAATAAATGATTTCAAGCAACTACAACAAAAGATATAAAGACAGGAGAGGGGTATCATCTGAGAAATAACATTAGATTTTTTTTTGTATTATATGTGGAATCTGATTATGTTGATTAATCGGTTTGTTATGTTGCTTCGGACCTTAAGTTTCTTGTGCTCGCTGAGGGGTGCGGGAGGTTTACCCTATGCTTGGGTTCAATTCGTGTGCTTTGCACCTAAAATTATTTTTTTTCGTATAGTGCCCCGATATTGTGTACTTGAACTCCTTGGTGTTATGTTCCTGAACATTACAATGCTGATCGACAGATAGCATAGTGCCATAGTGCTCTGGATTCAGTGCTATATACAACGTTATATGTGCCGCAACACTGCAAGTTAAGCACCGCAAAGTCATGAAACAAAGGCCTGAGCATCGTAGTGCCCCAAACTGGCGCCGCAGCGCTACGAGACGGACTAGACGGTTTCCTTTCTCATTTTTTTGAAGTGTTGCATCCCTTGGAATTATTTACTTGGCTTTTTCTTGTATTTCTGAGTTGTTAGACATTGAGAATGGTGCATGTGAGAATAGAAGCAAGGAGAGATTGAGAGAAGAGATATTAATTTGTACTTATTTCTCAAATTTTCATAACATATTTCTTAGTGTGGAGTGGCTCTGTGGTTTTTTTCCACGTTAAATACTGGTGTCCTTTACTTTACACTGCTTTTACTCTTTTTTCTTGTTTCGTCATTGCGGTGTTTACTCCTCATCCCAACATTTTGAGTGTTTGCTATGAGATCTCTTTGCTTCTTCAGGTAGAAAAAAGAGAGATTATATTCTTGTTCTAGCAAGAGAAAAGGCTCTTGTCCGTAGTCACGAATTTATGTCATTTTGAATCATGTAATAGAGAGGGGAAATTAGTTCGCAGCAACTAACTTCTATTTTTTTCTCAATTAGACAAAGTTCTATATTTTACCATATGAGCAATTAAAAAGCTTAGTGAATTATTAGATATCTATGTGGTTACAACGCAAGTTTCATTAAACCAACTTATGTAAATTTTGGTATTATTTTTTGTGTTATTTTATTTATCATTTTTCTACATTTTTTTAAGTCAAATCTCACGACCAATGAACTCAATCAAATGATCCATTGCTGAGAAAAAATTAAGAGAAATAATAGAGTTCAAATTAAGCTAATATTTTCAACTTAGGTGATTGAAGAGAAATCACATAAGGAATTTAAACTCATGGAGATACTTGACAAAAAATAAATGAGGTGGACCAACTTTAGGTCCAAAAATCCGAGCTAGTGCTCTTACCTCAAAGTTTAGTCAAAAAATTGTGTGAATACTCTTTGTAGGCAAGCCAATGCCCCCATGTAAATAACCTATAAAGACTTGAGGCCACCAAATAGACGAACAATCGCACTTAATAAGATCACCTCGTTACTTTAACTTAATCACCCCTTTATGTTAAAAGGGTTCTATGAAATTTAAAAGGCCAAGAACTCTATACTCTAAATGATTAAGATTGACCCTATTAAAAAAACCATTTATTCACTTGTTCTTCCTCTTGTATTTCAAGGTAATCCTACAAATCATCCACAAAATTACTTAGAGTTCTTCTCAAGTGTCACTAGGTGATAATTCATATATTATTAAGGAAAAATCTAATGCTAGAAGGCCACTTCCTCCATTGCTACCTATTTTGCATCGATATATTAGAACACCAATCCCTTTTAAAAGGACAGTCTTGATGATTAATTACCCCTATATGGGTACTCAGGTATTTTGAAAGGCCAAATCCATCTAAAACGGTATTATAAGAGGTTGCCAAGATAAGGAGAGAAGAGCAAGAAAAACCAAAGTCATGAATATAGAGCAAGCAACATTCACTCCCATAAAATTAAACAAAGTCGCTAAGGAGAAAATTTAACAACCTAATAGATTCAGTTCAAAATTAGGTAAACTCATTCCTTACTAAGAAGCCTTTTTTCTTATTCCTCCTTGTTTGTATGACACCATAACAAATTATCATGATTACCAAATTTGGCCAAAAGATTTGAACCTTCAAGTGAAATTGGATATAAAATATGATAAGCCAACTATCAAGTTGGAGTCTTCTAACCACAAACCAAAAAGTCAACCCTTAACAACTTAGCTCAATATTGAAAATTTTTATTTCCTTGCTGAAATTTAGCCATGATTCATGTCATGATTATTCGACAAGTTTTATGTACGCTGGTTGTCGACTACCTAACACAGCTTTAACTATATATATATATAGCCAATTGCTTACATTTGGGAGGAGCAAAAGCTTGACCAACAATAAATAATCCCAATAGTAATATTTTCAATGCAGGGCGAGATTCGCTTAGTAATAGCACCAAATGGACAGCCATTAGATAACTTGATGGCATATACTCTCAACAAATGCAATTCATAAGCTTTTATAAAACTGTTCATTTTTATTTATTCTGATAGGCAAAGGCGTACCTATCGCTTCTCTTCAATATATCTGAGATTTCATCGCCATTCCAATTTCCAGCTTCAAAACGCTAAAACTATGGGGTTTTTAGGATAACTTTTTTATTATTTTTTAAAAAATTTTCAGCTAAGAAATTATTTTATAAAATAATAAAAAAATTGTCACAAATAAAACCTTCATTTGGCATATTTAGAATGGAATGTGCTGATTAAAATTTGATAGGAAGATTATAATGTTTTATAAAATTTATTGTAAAATTATATTTTCTATTGTAAGAAAAACTTCATTATTATGATTACAGAAAATAAATTTTTACTATAAAAATTTTTAAAAAATAATGAAAAAATAATAAGAAAATAATATCCAAATACAATTATTATTATTGTCTTAAAAAATTAGTCCATAATACAGATGATATGATGACTTTGCATTAACTTGAGCAGATCCCTTTGTTTTTTAAGTAATGAAATAGAATGAAGATTTAGAATAGCCTACAAACATTCTTCTTTAGTATCTCATATTTCTCTTATATAATAGCCTTTCACATTTCAAGATCTACTCTTATACGTCTATCAAAGAGGTTCGATCATAACCCTGGACAGCATATGGAAACCAACCAAAATGTGCCACATCATTTTTTTGTTCGTTACAGTTACTCAGTACCACTGTGTACCGGATGACATGACGCATTTTGGTTGATCTCCGAACCGTCTGATGTCCGCACAGAATAATTTCACCATACACTGTGAATAATATATAGCATATGCATTCTATCTTAATGAAAACACATTCCTAAACAGTGACTATTTAAATTTCGAGTTAAAAATTATTGTTAAATACTAAAATCAAATCTTAACTACATAAAATTTGCATTTTGGCACTCAACAAACCCAAAAAGAGGGGAAAAACACTAAAACCTTTATACCATTCAGTAACAGAACAGAAAAAAAAAAGTATTCTCATTTTAAGTGTATGTTGCACAGAAATTTGGGAAGAATATGTCCCAAAAAGAATATAGCCCCAAACATTCACAGCTTAATCAGAGGCTACTTTCAAAATCACAAAAAAAAAAAAAATTAAAAATTAAAAATCAGTTTCAAAACTCAACCTGCTCTGGTCTATTTCATTCAGTGGTATCAAAATTATTCCCGAGCTGCTCTCCACTTCAGACCACCGGATGGATTCCTTTTCCAGAAGCTGAAGCACCTATTCATAGGCCAAATCAAAGGTTTAACAGTTTTCAACCAAGGTTTTTAATGACTAATGTATTTAATGCAAAGAAATATATAAATGCGGGAGGATTGAAATTGATGTTTCATGAGACAATTAATTATTCTGTGCGGACGCCGAATGACATCCAGAGATCAATCAGAATGCGCCACATCACCTCTGTGAGCGGTACCGTGCCTCGGTATTGCTGATACGGCGCATTCTGATTGGTCTCCTCCGGTCTCCGCACAGAATAATTTCTCTCATGAGACATGCATTTCGCATATCAGTTGAGAATTACAGAGAAACAGATTTTGATAGCCAAAAAATGTGTAAGATTTGAGAAAGGTAAAATGATACAGCTATCTACCATGCTTAACGGAACCCTTAGGATGACAATCAGGTTGAATAAACAGGCAGGTTTTATTAGCTGGATATATACAAACATAGAATCATCATTCATTCAGACTTCGCTGCTAGTCAACCGACTTTTTATCTAAATTTAAGATGTGGAGCGTAATTTTTACCCTATGAAGAAAATGCATTATCCATATTTAATCGCTGGTCGACCTATATATGATTTATTTCATTAAAGATGTTATAAAAATGATGTTATGTTTTTTAGCTATCCTAATTTTTATTCTTTATAAAGGGTTCTGGAAATAACCATCGATCAGATGAACATATATGAAACAGTTTTTGTGCGTTAAATCTTCTTTTATGTTTTTTTGTTATTTTCTCTCTAGGTGTTTATATTAAATATTGCTCATTTACCAATGTACTCCACATTAAAATCTGTTTAGCAAGCTTTCTTTATCAGCATTTAAAGTTGCTCTGTTCTTCTGATATATTTGATAATTGAAGGAATGTGAGTGCCTTATTTGATAATTGAAGGAATGTGAGTGCCTTTTATGGAAAGATGGCAGGCTCCAATTTAATTTAATTTTTTTTTTTTGACATTTAGGCCATTTAAGGCAAACTCACACATACAATGCATACACAAAGACTCGAACCCAAGACTTCTTAGTTGGAAGCCTAAACTCTCAACCAATAGGTTAAGATGAGCTGTCTCCAATTTAAAATGAAGTGAGTTTCGTCTGCTTTCGCCTGAAAAGAGGGGGTAATGCAAAGTAAAAAAGTTTGCATGTGAACTTGTTAAAGATCCAATGCTAAATGGATATTTTACCATTTCTAAACACAGGATGGATAAAAGTATTTTCCACATCAAAAGTTTCAGATAAAATTTAAAAAATAATGGAATACCATTTAAAGCAATCATGGATATTAAATTTGATTTGTCCGAGAGAAACATGACCAGGATAAAATGTTACCATGGGAAAACACATATACATTGCAAATATAAACCTTACTTACTATTATGAAAGTTTTCAAGTAAATATTACAATTTGTACATGAACGAAAAAATATAGCTTATTACACTTTTTCATCAATACCCTAAATAGTAAATGATTAAGAGAAAGAGAATTGCTTAAACTAAAAAAATATAATAATATATAGCAATGTGATGTGGGAGGTGGCCGGCTCAGCCAGCCAGTCCAGCAAGAGCCGGACTAGCAAAACTGGGAAGAAGCAACATCAGGGGTTTCGGCCCCCCCTTGTGAGGCCCGTCAAACCTATAATTTCATATGTAAGGAAAAGGAGTCAGGAATGAATTAATGTGGAGTTTGAATTCAACTAGGAGAGGGAGATATGCAAGGAAAATATCTTAATTGTGTTTAGGAAGGTTTTTATTATTTAGGAAAGCTTCCTAATTGTGTTATTATATGTTACGAAAGATTTTATTAAATAGAAAAGCTTTCTAATTGTGTTATTATAATGTATTAAGGATTTTATTTAGGGAGGTTTTAATTAGGAAATTTTCAGTTACGTTCTTTTGTGTTGTGGCTATTTAAGTAGGAGTTGTTTAAGGTTTAGAAGCATGTTTTATGTTGGATTTTTTACTGTAGTTTTTCTTAGAGGCTTCCTAGCAGCATCTAGGTTGTTTAGGAGAGTCAATCTACCCCTCAAATTGTAGATCACTTGTTTCTTGTTGAAGTTTTAATAAAAAATCAGCCACCGTTTTGATTTTACTCCAATTTTTCTTTGTTATTTGTTGTTTTTTCTTCCAAAGCGTATCACAATGATGGATTACAAATTTTATTACCTATTCATTAAATTTGTTCTACCATGCAAGTGGACAAGTTTCTCCAAGGCAACCTAGGATTTGGCAAAAACCACCAGAAGTAGCAGAACAAATTTGTGTTTTCATATTGCGTACGGATAACCTAACAAGCTTCAAATTTACCTTTTTGTTGCTATTCAAATATAATTATGTTATATAAATGTCTAAATCACCAAAATATTCTAATGTTCAAGAAAAACGTAAGTTATTTCTCAACAAATTCATTCAATTAACTTGTGTAAAATCGTACCTTTTCCCTTCTTCGCTTTCCTCTTGAGGTAATGTCATCATCCTTATTGATGGTTACTTTCAAGTAACTAAAAGCTAAAAGAAAACAGACCAAAGAGCAGTCATTACATCAAGGATAGCCAATCTGGCAGGAGTTAAAATTAGTCAACAATAAGAGTGCTTACAAGGAATGCTCGCTAAAGAAAATATATGTAATTTCAATAATCGAATAGACTCGTTAACAGAATGAGCATGTAAATCAAGAGGTAGCTCATTGCCTTTTTCATGGGGTTCTCTGCAAATAATTTAGGAGCATGCATCATAATTCTGCAAAATGCTACAAAAACTCACCTTAAAGACATAAGAATGGAGAAAATTTTGAACGAAGAAAATTATATACTCACGCTTTTTCTAGGATCAGCCCAGAAGATTTCTCATCTGCTTCCCGAGCCAACTGGCAAAATTGTTTACCCTTCACAAAAAAAAAATCACAACAGAATTTAACATGTTATACTGTTTTAATCATAAATTTAATTTTGTTTGTGTTGAAGTAAATTTACAAAAAGACCATTCACGCCTAAGCCAAGTTAGGCGAGATGAAGCTCAGTACCAGTGTGCTTTGATAGATAAATAGCATGATTGTCATTTTGTCCCCTAGAGATAAGTTTTGCTTCGCCCACGAAGAGAACTTACTTGATTTGAGAAGTAGCTTGTTTGTGCATGTTCACCCTGGATAAATGCATCTATTGCCTGTGAAGTCAATTTTAACATTTAAAATTCAAAATCTAAGAGCAAAACTAAATTGACATATGGTTTATTGAACTATTCAACAAAGAGCAAATGCTTCAGTAAATTTGACAAAGAAGCTCCTTACGGCTTCATAGTATAGCTTCATTGTATCCCAATGTTGCTTTACGGCTTTCCGAAGCACCTGATAATTATCCTCATCATCTGAAAGGGTGATAGAAAGCATCAACAGAAAATGCAGATTAAAGGAAAATCGCATGCTTGGAAGAAATAGCTAAAGCTGACAGCCACACTACGTTTATGGTACAGAACAGAGAGAACAACCTAGATAAACAGACCTTAGGAAAAAGAAGATAATTGGCTAAATACTATTAAGGTTTAGAAAACGATTTTTTTTTTGGGCAAAATTCAATAGTAAAATAGTATGCCCACTTCGAAGTGTACCAATGTGAGTAAACTGATTCCCAAAAGCAACTTGAACGCAACATATTTTATGATTGAAACTAGATGGTTGACTGCCATAACTGTTTTAAATGTAATCTCTTAATGTTATTGAAGGAAATTTAAAATTTTGAAAAAATACTATATCGGGAAGTACTAGATTAAAAAGAAATGTTGTCATTAAATTATATATCTTCTTAATCAAGGATATCCATCTTCATCTTTTCTTTCATTTTATCTTCACCCTATGTGCTTATTTATAAGCATTTTTTCACTCAGTAAAAGATAAGAAGTTTCCACTTCAAACGTGGCATCACTATGAGGTTTCTCTTTCTCTCACTCCCATCCCACTTATATGCCCTAGTTGTATCACTCCTTTCGCTTCATTTTTGTATGGCACCACCACCCACTAACGCCACTCCTGCATAACGTGTTCCATCCTAATCGTGATCGCTTGCCCACATATTGCTCTCTAAACTCTTGCTTACTCCCATACACCATGTTTCGTCCGAATCGTGCCCGCTCTGCCCGCCTAGTAACATAACCATGTTGAAAATTGTAGCCCGCCTGCAGTTTGTCAAATCATCCCTCTCGCACCAACCCTAAAACTACAACCATGTCCATCACACCGCTTGTGATGAAGCCAACAGTCCAGTGTGCCACTTTTTTGCTCGTCCTTGTTTGTGCTCTCTTGCAATTCATAGCCCAATGCATCACGGAGTCGCCTAATAACCCAAAGTGTTGCTCACTCACCCATGATTATTACATATTGTTTGGTTGCTCGCAATGCTTCACTCTTGTGCTTGCTATGACTAGCACCATTTCTCTAGTTGTATAAGCGCAAACTTGTAGGGCTTAACTGTCACGACCCGACCCGACGGGGACGGATCCCGCCCGAGCCGGACCGCGACAAAACCTTTTAATCCAGGATCTGGCTTTGGAATTTGGTTACTGAACTGAATCTTCCAAATTAATCAAACTCAACAGACACACAAACACAGAACAACAGAGCTACTATAAGTCACCAAATGCAGCGGAACAAAACATCTATATTTTCATTTTCCTCAAAACAATCATCTACAGATACAGTACATGGCTTTTGAACAGAAAGAAAGACAGATCAGAAAAGCCATGACTGTACAAAAATCAAAAGGTACAACAAATACCTATACTGATCAGACTCAGAAATATACTCCTGGACTTCCTTCCCTTTCCCAGAACCTGAAAACCACCAGAAAACAAGAGTGAGCTCAACAGCTAAAAAAAATATTAGTGGGGGTAAATTCCCACCCCTACTTTTAGCTTAAAAAAGGGGGCGTGATGTGCCATCCCACATGCTTCTAGCAACGCCGAATGGCATTGCAATAGGGACCTTAATTAAGTCCCCCATATTATTTATAACTCTCTTCGTCCCTTCCATCCCCTTACTCTCTCATATTACAAATTCTCCTCCCCATGAACACATCCAACCTCATTCAACAACTTCTAAGTCTTTGCATTCGTGCTGTTTTTTTTTTTTTTACTTGTTTTGCAATAAGAATTAATTGGCCTTATCCATATTAGTTATGATCAGTAGAATATTGATTTTAGATCAATAATAGCTTAACCATTAGGAAATTGTTCGTATCATCTCCCAATATTGTTTTGTTTATCAACACTAAATACTTCCGGTCTTTCAAGTTGTCATTGGGCAATCATTCAAGAAACATACAAAAAAATTTGTTGATAAATAAAAACTAAACGTAAGGTGCAAAACACCGAAAACATAAAAAATGTGCATTTATCACATTCATTGCGTTTTATTCTTCCTAGTAATTGAAAAAGGAAAGAAAATTAGGGTAAAAAGACATGCCAAAAAAAAACTATGGAAGAGTACTAGATAATTTCATACCTCTTTTAGTTTCAGGTTGAGTCAATTCAGGTTGAGGTGTTGAGGATGAAGCATAATCATCAAAAGGCTTAGTCACTGGCTTATGCCCTATCACCCTTGTGCGATTTAGTCCCCACTCCAGGCGTCTAACTTTTGGTTCCTCCTCAAATATATCAGGGATGCTGAACAATGATTCTAAAACCTCCCTTGACAGATTGATTTTCTCTTCTTTCAACAATGAGATTTCTTTTGAATGACTGCATTTAGGGGGGGGGGGGGGGGGGGGGAAGATTTTGAAAAACAAATAACTAAATTTCTTTCATAACAGGAAGGCAAATTTAAATATTAACTTCCTGATATATAAACTACAAATTGAATGCAAATTGATATGCTTCTCTTACCCCTCAGGCGGGAGCTTCTTGCATTCTACCTCGTTAGCGGAGGTTTCCTCATTCAGCTTGTTAATTCTACGCTGTTTGATAAACCAAATAAAGGAAACAAATTACCCTAAGAGAGGACTCCAAAATGATAGAAGAGCTAAACTAATTAACAGAGAAGTAAACTGCATTTAAACATTAATTAAAGCAAGCTTCTCTTAAACAGGAAAAAGTTCTATGCATAGAAGTGACATGCAATTTTGGGTGTCAAGCAAATCACTTGCAATTTCAAAGAATTAAGTTTGAATTAAGATCTCAATGGAGATAGAATGACAGAAAATTTGTAATAGCATACACAATGCACAAATTGGTAAATAAGCTTAAAAAATTTGTATACTTCTGAGTTCTGTCCAATCACTTGCTTTTTAAGAGAACTACAAAGAAAGGACTGCATTTCGTAATGACCCTATTGCGTCATAAGAATCCCAAATTCAAACTACCCTACGCTAAAATCAATTTCTATTAAGAATGCATCATTTTGATGAAATTGAAAACTCAGATTACTGGATGCTACAGACTTTAATATGCGTGTTAGGATTACTTTTTATTTAGGAAAGGAGTTTTATTATGGCTAGCGGTCCTTGTAAGATTGGTGGTCCTTAGAGATATTGTATTATTTCTCTTATTATAAATATTAGATCCTCTTATGAATAAAGACACATAAACCTCATTTCCTCCTAACATGGCGTCAGAGCCAAGTAGCAAACAATAACCTTAGCTGCCACCCTCCCACCACATTAATCCCTATTGTTTTCCATACCCAGGCATCATGAATGGCTTGCATCCCCAGCAACTTAAAAGTGCATTGATTACATCTCATGCTCACACTTGCGTCCCCATCTTGTCCACACACAAGCTCACACCCATGCTCTCACGCAGCCACTGGTTGATTCGATCGTTCTCTCATCAAGTTGATCCGCACGTCTGCATCGCTTGCTGCCCATGTCGCTTGCTACTCACACATTGCTTGATAACCTCACTACTCTGCACTAACCTAGCCATGCTTTTGCCCTACCGCTTATTTTCCTCCACATCCACAGATGCTGCTATAGTCACCCATCTCCCTTCACTAACCCTTACTACTTGGGATATAATCCTTCTCCTTATGATTTAAAGTCAAAATCTTATTCTCTATCACTATCTTACATGGTATTAATGACCTTCACATCCACATGATGTACAACTCTCCTCAACCATCAATTCTTCTACCAAATTTAATGATATTAATTACCTCTTGTAATCTAGTGTCTTTTATTTACTTGTTGGTTCTCAAAACAAACTTTCATTTTGATGCATCCCTTCCAACAAATGGTGGCACCATCAAGTTGTCAAATAGCAAGCATTTGATTATGCCATTCACAATTGGATATTCAATAGTCTCAAACAATGTTTAAAATTACGTATTCGGGTATTGAGGCGTTTTTCATTCGTGAGGTGAGGCGTAAGCCTCAAGGCGTTTTGAGGCGTAAGCCTCAAAATCAAAAGATTGTAAACATAAAATGATAATTTTTTTATATACTAATGAGTGAATAATATAAAACATAAAAAAGTATAAGATATGAAGTGAAATCAAAACATTCCAATAATAAGACAAGATGAAATATAGTTCAACTCAAAATTCTATCTTTCCCAAATCCCATTATTCTTTTCATTAACATATAATTCAAATTTTCAAAAATAAATAGCAATGACATATCACATAAGAACTCATAAGTCATCAGCACTGTCATCACTAAGGGGTTCTTCATTTGAATCATCAGTATGATGAACTGCTCTCTCCCCATCCTCCTCTCCTATAGAGTCCAATGTCGGGCATTTACTTCAAGATTTATGTAAGCTTTAATATATATAGCGTGAGGCGTAAGACTCATGTCAGTGAGGTGAGGCGGGCCTCAATTTGGTTGAGGCGCAAGCCTCATAAAAAAAACTCGAGGCGTAAGCATCGAGGCGTTTTTTACTGGAATTGCGCAAAGGCGAGCCTCATATTGCGCAATTTTAAACCATGGTCTCAAAACTTATAGTACCTCCATAATCATATTTCATGAGACTCCCAAAGCAATATAGAACTTTCACCACTCCATTTACTTCCAAGAAAGCAGCATCTCCATAGAATGAATTGTCTATCTATGACAACCATCGTATAATGCAGGGTAGGTGGGATAAGTCAACTTCAATACTGACCTTTTACCACTGATTCAAAGGTCTGACAGCAATAAAACAATAAGTTCATTCTTGTTAAATTTGTCTATATCCTTCGTCTATCTATTTAACATGAAAGATTCTACAATTCTCATTCTTACAACTGCTCTTTCTAGTGTTCATCGAGCCATTGAACTACCATCTCCTCCACCAATTTCTGATCAAAGTGCTCTCACTATGGAGGGGGGAAGCCCTTCCCTCCCTACTCATGGTGGTTGCACTAATCATCCTTCTAAACAATGTTGGGCCACCTCCTAGGTTCATATTACCTAATATGCCTCGAAAACTCTATTCCTGTTGATATTTTCCCACTACGACCATTCCTTCAAGATCTTTCATCCTATCCCAGAAGGATTATTGTCACTTGGTTCAGTGTTTGCATAATTTTATGTAAGTTTCTCAACATGTTTCCTCCTTTGATTATGCTCCTCAACCACCCGTCCTTGCTATTGATGGTTCTCATTTGAATATGTAAATTTACTATTCATTCACTTTCTCAAAAATCTCATAATTGGTATGTGACATTTTACCCTTCTCATTGTATTTTACATTATCTCAATATGAAGAAATTGATTGGTGGTTGTGTTGAAGCTCTAGCAATCTGCCACTTTACAAAAATAATTCCTTTAGGTAATCCGCCACCACCATCATTTGAGATTTTCTTATCATTCCATCATCCATCTAAGTTTGAATATAATGCTTGTGAACTTGGTAAGCAGCATCAACCATCTTTTCCATCATCTTATTTGAAACCTAGAAGTATCTATTAGACCAATCCACTGGACCGGTCCAGCCGGTTCGCACGGGACTGGCATTTCGCAAATAGAGGCGGGATCTCCGCCTCCTGCGGAGATCGAGCGGTCCGAACGCCCAATCGGAGCCCTTTAGGAAGGATTTTTTTAGGGTTTTGAGAGGAAAATTTGAATGTATGGACTGTTTAGAGATTTTCTTTTGATTTGTATGCGTTAAATAGTTGATTTTCCTAGGTTTATGGCATCTTGAATTTGGCTGAAATTTGAGATCTCTTAGAATTAGGTTTTTCATTGGGCTCTAGCGGCGTCTAGAGATTTGGGAGAGATCGATCCATCTCTCGAATTGAGGATCAATTGTATCTTGCTATTTTTTGTTTCCCTTTCATCAAATAATACAAATTATCTACTGTTTTTGTGGTTTTGTGCGGACCTTCGTGAAGAATTCTCGTTGTTTTCCAAAGATTGATAGGAAATATTTGAGATCTACAAGTGTTTCCTATCAAATTGATATCAGAGCACGTCGATCGAAGGGGAACCAATGGCCGGAAGGAAAGTGGAAATTTTGGAGGGAGAACTTGGGCAACTTAAAGCAGATTTTGAGGAAAATATGACTTATTTTCAAAGTCAAATTGCATCCGTCAATGAAAAGATGGAGGAAAAATTTGCCGTGGTGGAAGACTTGTTGAAGAAATTGCTTGAAGCCAAAACCAAACCGGTGACATCAGAAGCAAAGGTAACTACCGGCGGCCATAGAAGAGATGGTAACCCTAACACGTATAGGGGAAGGGAAAAGCCAGAAGTGGAGATCCTGGAGGGAGAAGACGGAATGCCTCCTCTAGAACCACTTTCTAAGGAGGAGATGAGCATTGGCTACACAAGAAGGGGTGTTGAATTTGTAAGGCGAGGAGATGATTTCGATCATCGGGGTGCTGATTTTGAAAGAAGAAGAGGAGATTTTGATGAATTGTTTGGGTATGATCGCCGGAGGGAAGATCATGACACTTGGGGAGCACCTCCGCTTCGAAGAATGAGAGGTTATGGAGGATTTAGGGGAAACGGGTGTGACTCGAGGGTGAGGAAACTGAAGATGTCAATCTTTGAGGGGGAGGATGCACATGGGTGGATCTACACGGTAGAAAGATATTTCGCCGTCAATGGGATGACATAGGAGGAGAGATTGACGGCGACGTGCCTATGTTTAGAAGGGAAGGCTTTTTCTTGGTATCAGTGGAGGGACATGCGACAACCTATACGAAGTTGGAGAGAGTTCAAGGATTGTTTGGTAGAACATTTCCGAACTGGCAGGGGAGGAGACTTCTACGAGCAGTTCTTTGCCTTGACACAGGAGGGTTTAGTGACGGCGTACCGGGAGAGATTCGAGTACCTTGCTAGCCGATTGGACCACCTTTCTGAGACAGTGCTAGAGGAAAACTTCACGAAGGGATTACACAAGAGATCCGAGCAGTGATTGAGTAATGAGGCCACGTAACTTGGGAGAGGCTATGGAGCTAGCTCAATTGGTAGAAGATCAGAGGCACCTGGAGAGAGAGACTTGAGGCGGCAGCTCAGGAGGCTCGTATAGGATGACCACCACTTTATTGAAATCCAAGGAGCCAACACCGGATACTCTTCGAGGGACTTCGAAGGAAAAAACTGCAGGAGAAAGACCTGGGGACAACTTCAAGAAGCTCACAGAGACAGAATTACAGGAGAAGAGGGTGAAAGGGCTTTGTTTTAGATGTGCCGAGAGGTATATGCCAGGGCACAAGTGTAAGAACCGAACTCTTCAGGTTCTTACCATTTGTGATGAAGAAGGAATGGAGGGTGTCGTCTTTCCACCTTGCAGACAAGGTGGATCTTTGAGAGCGAAATATTGTTAGACCGGTCCAACCGGTCCGCACGGGACCGATGTTTCGCAAATAGAGGAAGGATCTTCGCCTCCTGCGGAGATCGGGCGGTCCGAATGCCCAATCGAAGCCCTTTGGGAAGGATTTTTTAGGGTTTTGAGAGGGAAATTTGAATGTAGGGACTGTTTAGAGATTTCCTTTTGATTTGTATGCATTAAATAGTTGATTTTCCTAGGA